TTAACAATGAAACAATCACTCTGCACCTAACAGGTTTTGCACTTTACAGTTTTAACACACAGAAGACTGGGAAAAAAATGTCCATGTGTCAATTGTTTGGAGTCCTGTTCCTTACTTTCATGTGTCTTTTTTCTCCAAAATACAGATGTTCATGTGAATATATGGTTGTTAATTTTTTGTTTGTTTGCTTTCCTCTACTGGAGAATATTAATAGGTATATCATCCTGACTATCCAGGGCCAGCCAAAAGCTTTCTGTGACTTGAAGACAGTAACAGAAATGACCACAAGCTAAGGCAGGGAAACAGTGAATTCAGACTGTGTTAGTCAGAAGCTGGTGTGGAAGACCCCACAAGAATTTGGCCAGATGTTTTGCTATTAACTTAAGGAGAAAAAAAAAAAAATAAAAAAAATACCTGAGTGGAATCTCTGATGCTTCTTGTGGAGCTGGGAGCTCCATGCCTCCATGCCTTGTTAGTTCCCCATTCCTGTCATTGACAGGCATTACCTCCAGAGATCGGTCTTTGCTGCAAGTCTCTAAAAATCCTCTTTAATGGTTGAGCAAAATGAATTATCCACAACAAAGAGTCTGATCTTTTCTTTTTTAATGAAAGTAGGCATGATAAAATGGCAAGCTCATCGTGCTCTGTGTGTGTTTTGTGTTTCCACTTAGATTATTTTGTGGATAGTTTTGCTTTTCATAGATTTGGTGAGGTTTCATTAGGTTTGATTTAGTCTAGCCTTTAGGTGATGGGCTAAATCACTATCAATTTACTCTGAATACTGAACACTCTGGATCTGAAATTAGGGTGGTGTTAATTAGCTGTAATTGGTCACAGAGATGGCAGAGAATTCTGAACACTTTATTAGTCCATTAGCAAATGTGGATTCCTGGGCAATCAATCTTTAGGACTAAAATAATCTTAAATTATTTAGTTACATTTACCAATTAAAATATATAATCCATTTATGTGTACAAGAAATGCATGAAATGCATTAATGAGTTATGAAGCCAATTAACAAGGTGTATTCTCTAACACAAAGGATGGTAGTAAAAACAAACTGTTGCAAAGCACACATCAAAACAAAATCAATCTTTTTCTGCATTTCTGAAAATACTGAGAATGTATAAGAGACCTTCCAAGGCAGTATGCTACTTATTGCATATTCATATGCACTACATACTGCATGAGATTCATAGTTTCTTATCTCAGGCTTTTGTAATGCATGTCACCTTCATACCACATTAGAAATATTTCAGTCTTGTTTATAGTTGTATAACACAACATGATAGGAATGCAAGCTTTCACTTCTTTCCTCAAAGGAATGAACATAACACACTAAGGCAAAACACTGCAAAATTTAATTTCCTTCTTCTGGGTAGATAGAACAGGGGCAAATCTTTCAGCACTGATCCAATTCTTGTCTAATGCTTTAGTCAAAATCCACTGCCAAAGCTGACCTGCAGATCCTGTGTCTGTTCTAACCTCTGAACAAACCAACACATAACCACCAAGTAGGCACAGCTTTATATGTGCAACCCATAACACAGGATCCTCCTGCAATATTTTATATCAAAACCAGCACCTCCTGAATACTACAAAGGACTATAGAATTTACAGTAATCATGTCCTGGATGTGGAAAATTACACAAAATATATATTAAATCTTTCTATGAGTGGAGCTTGAATTTATGTAATCTAACTTCAGCTACCTAAAACCTAAGTGTAATCCACCCTCAGGCTTCCTTGGTTCTTTTCAAACACTGAATAGACACAGCCCTCCAAAAAGTAGTTTACGACATCTGTTTTAGGATGAAACCAAACACCTCATTTTCCTATAGTTACTTCTGGGACAAATTCTATCTTATATAAATTGTCAAAATTCCCAGACTTGATAGTTTACTTATAAAAGAGCATGAAGCCATAGTAATCAAGAAGAAAAATCTACAGAGGCAACATGAAGTTTATACTGATAAAACAATACATAAGAGCTAAAATGCATATACTCATTACGCCTTTTGGGAATTATTTGCCTTTAAGATAATGAGAGCAAAAATTTTAATTGTTGAAATAAGAAAACAATGCTTGAGTTCAAGTCTAAAATAATCCCTATTCTGCTGATGGGTTGTACTTCTACATAGCTCCATGAATTTCTGTGTAACTCATAATTCTGGGCATTACACTTTGTTGGCCAGAGGCTAGTAGCTCAGTACTGTAATCAGGAGGACCAAATCCATATACATTCCTCAGTCACACAGTTCCCAGCCTGGTTTACTATGTGAACCTCCTCCTGTTTTCTGCTGCAGTCGGTCCTGTGAGGTACGGTCACTACTATTGACTGTGCTATGGAGACAGTAATTTCTGGCACAGAAACACAGTGGAAGTCTCTGGTGGGAGACTGTAGGTCAGAGTCCTCTGTCATCTTTGTAACTGCCCTTTAAAAAACTGCAGGCTGCTCCTAGGTCACCCTTCAGTTTCCTCTTCTCTAGAGTAACTGAGTTCAGCTCTGTCAGCTTGCCTCATTCATATGCCATGCATACTTTCTAAACTTGAACTTCATGGAACTTCAGGTAAAGAAATGGGAAAGAAATGCACTGACTTATGAAAGTCAAGTGCTTAAAGAAGATACACTGAATAGTCTGTGTTTTATAGATTAAAAAATATACAGTTGAATATAATTTCTTCAGAATCTTTCATTTACATTTGAAAATTAAGAAAATATTTTTAATCATGCTTGCAAAAATAAATTTACAGCCCTGAAAATAAATATTCACTTTTTTAATGCAGGTCTGCTTTTTCAAAGAAGTGTCAAACCCAAGAGAAAATATCACTGGGTTTTAGATTTAAGAAGTCACTTAAAAATATGCTCCAAATTCTACTTTCTGTAAGAAAAGATGGAATTTGCCTCCACTGGAGGCAAAGGGCCAAACTGTCATCTGGTGGTCATATGCAAAATCTTCAACTTTTTTTCCATGGAGTTTTTATAAATCAGTGGGTTTAACCTGGAAAAATCAGGCTGATTTCAGGAGTTGAAACCCAAGTGTCATAATAAGAGCTACGTAGTCTTTGTTATATTTTTGTAAATACAGTAAACAGTCTAATAAATCCTGGTGTGAAGGAGCACATAAGTTCCTTCTCTTAATATTTCACCATTGAGACCTGATTGAAATGTTCCTTAATTAATCACTTAGGAACAGAAATATCATCGGAAAGGAAAAGAAGAAAAGGCATGAACTCAAAATACTGAAGTATCACCTCTCAGAGATCTCCACAAAATACAAACTCACTCTGAAGATTACATTTTATATTATTTTGTTTCTACAGCCTGGTCTGAAAATGTCAGTTTCCATCAACACTTGTGGGATTTAAGCTCATTTAACCAATATAACATGAACATCAGATTTCCATCTGCTTAGAAAGTTTTCTTCAGTCTCCTGTAAAAATACAGATTCTCACTGCTTAGCATTATCCTGACTAGTATACTGAGCATGCGTGAGCTGACAACCAGTTCAGGAATTGCTTAGTTTAAGAGTTTAGTCTGAGTTATTCCCTGTTTCTTGACTGGTTATTGAAAACATATTAAGAACTTGATTGATTGGTTGATAGTTAATATGAAAAATTAAAAGCAGGATATTGTGGTTTCTCTCTCTCAGTTTATATCTATGTTGTAGCATTAAGTGTGTAGTGTCCAAACTGAAATCTGATGCCTGTTTTAGGATGATTGGTCAAAAGTAACTTTATGTTTTGCTGGGACTTAAGTGACTTCCTTCTGAAAACAAAGACAGATGAGAAGCAAAAAATTTAAGACAGGTTTGTGATATGTTTTCTCCACATTTCAAGTATCCATGTCATCCACTGATACTGGATTGGTCAGGATTTTTCAAGATCTATCTATGTCTTAAAAGCTTTTCAAGTAAATCTTGAGGTCAATATTGATATATAGCAGGACAAAAATCTATGGATTATCAGTAAACTAATAAAGTCCAGGAAATTAACTTTGAGACATCGAATCAATTTGTCTTGAATTAAAAGGCTGAAGTCTGAATTTCAATTCCTAGTTAATTATTGTGACAGATGTGATAACTTTAGAGCTGAAGTTTTTATTTAAGAAAGAAAAGGATCTTAATAATTTGTTTTCTGTTTCACATACATGTTTCTCAGTCATTATAGGCTGTGTACATAAGTTTTACTGCCAAAGTGGCTTGCTGAATGTTACTCATCCTTTACAAACTTAAGTGGTTAATTTATTTTATCTTTTATTATACATCATTGCCAGTTACAAGTCATAAAAATCAACTAGCAGTGAGGTAATTTCTGTTCCCCATTCCTTTCTTCCAGTTTCTCAACCACGATCACAGTCCTTGTACCACTCCATTTTCATCTTTGCCCTCAGTAACCAATATTACCCCCAAATTTGATCTTTTTCAGTCAGTTTGCCAAGTCTTGAACTAGGCTAGAATTATTGCCTTGTTGAACACAAGGATGTGACCTACCTAATATTAAGAATCTGGTCCTCTGTGCTTATGGTTTTTGAAGACTAATTTAGGATTAGTGAGTTTAGAAATGATCTTCTGCATTTTTCTTGTCATTGAACTCTGTAAGCTGATGTCAATATGCAGGGCAACTATGAAAGACTTTGTATTTCAGAAAATGTGAATTAATAATTAATTATATTTTTCTTGAAATAATTTTATATAGAAATCACAAAACAGAAATCTGACCATATATGCTTATATACTTACTATATTACTGTCAACACACACATTTTCAAAGATGAGGATGGGCTACAAAATGGAGAGATTTAAATTATAAAGATGTATGAACTGTAAACTAATATTTTCTGACATTTCTCACAGTATCTGCTCTCCTGGTAAACTCAGCAGAGACACTGTGCTGTCTCTAGGAAGGTGAGAGACGTGCATATTTACATAATACACATTCCTTAATAAATTTTTAAACTTTAATATACAAGATGTCAAACAGAATATGCTGAATTTTACCTGCAAAGGCTTTGTAATCCACCAAGTCAAACATTACAATAGCTACTGCTGACCAGGTAACAATCAGAGCAACAACAAGAAGCCATGCTGCTGGTGAGCTGAAAGTTGTCACGAGGTCTTCCATAACTGATTTCTTGCCCACTTTCATGGATGATGAGGGAACGGATCCATTCTTACCATCTATTATTGTTGTGGTTGTAGACATATGTCCTAGGAAAACAGTCAAAGCAGAGGAAATAGAATGTAACATATGCAGCCTAAAAATCAAGAATGTGAGTGGTTTGAAATTGCTCTGTAGTCAGAATATTTGAAATAAGTGTAAATATGACATTATTAGAGACAGGCTGTTGTGGTTTCTGGAAGGAGTTTTTCCTGAACTGAAGCCTCTTTTAGTAAGCTTAATTTAGGAGCAAACCTGGTGAAATAGCTACAACCAGTCTCTTTGATTATAATATGACATTTTTTAGTCTGCCACAAACAGCTACAGACCTAGGAGAGTGATTGATGAAAGCATAAAATATTATTATGATTATTATCCTCCAAAGGACTGTCTTGTTACAGGCTGTAGGCCAGATTCTCAGGTGATGTGATTAAGTGTACTTCCATTGAATGTAATGGAGTTAATGCGTCTGTGCCACTTGAGGTTTGACTGGATTTTGCTGTCAAGGACATCAACGGCAATAGGAACGTATATACTCCATTTCATCTAACAGAAACACATTTTTTTTTTTTTTAATTATTATTTATTTATTTAATTACATGTCCAGTAGCCTTACAAGTTGCAAAGAGGATTGTAGCAGATTTTTAAATATCTTTGTTTGCAGTATTTTTTACTTAATGAAAGCATCTTCTAAGAAACAAGACTTACAGTTGCAGAGCAGACTTAATTCCAGAAAGCACAGATTTGGTACTAGAAGGCTGGTAGAAAGGTGAGTACATATGTTAACTTAGTAAACAGTTGATACACATTAAATGTTTAACAGGCAGTTAACAGTAGTGACTTTTTCCTGGGGTATTAAGAAATGCTAATTCTGGACACAAACCAAAATGTGGTATTTGAAACCTGACCACGTTTGAAAGTTCTCAGGTTACACTTCTTTACAAAAGAAAGTCATAACCTAAACAATCTTGGTTGGTATTTGTTTTTCAATATATACAATAACTATAGTAAAAATATTCATAGCTTCCCAGTCAAAAACAGTAGAAGAGCACAGTGTCTCCACTTAGCTTACTTTACAATATTTGCTTGTATACTACTGTTAAAATATTCAACAGTATGTTACATATGTTCCTGGTCTGGGTGATGATGCCAATGCTCCTAAATTAATGTTAGTGATTTCAAGAACCCTTGCCCACACAGATGTCTGACATTTCAAAGAATCAGATGATGCTTAATTTGCTCATACCTTTGCTTCTCACCCTGAGACCACCTATCTTCTGTCACAGCAGATACAAACCATACAACTGATAATTTTCTAGGATGACATAAGTAAGGAAAGTGACGGAGCTGCTTTATACAAAGGTAAACAAATTTAGTTTCACTTTTCACATGGAAAATGCAAACATGCATTTGGAAACTATGACTAGAGCTAAGGTACAATGTTGTTGAAGACTTTCAGATATTTGCCATTACAACACATATGTAACCTCTATTTGAAAATCATTAAACTGAGATCCTTAAAGATATAAATGAAGAAAGGGTTAAATCCTTGATATTACCCATAGGTACATATATTTATCCCTAAAAAAAAAAAAAAATATGGTATAACAGGTCTTCCAATCCTTATACTAAGGAATATTGGTTTCATTCCTTTTTCTGTAGAAAGTGAGATCAATACTCTAAAGTGATACTGAAATGACCTTTATGTATCTCACACATATCTGTAGAGCTGGGAAGGACAATAATGGTTTCAGAACTTCCCTAATTCTTAATCTCTCATATCCATAGGGTGTTCAGATTCATACCCTTAAACATTCTTTATTTCTTTTGTTATGTAGTGTATTGCATTTTTGTGTACTTCCTGTAGCTCTACCTTTTAAACTTGCTTCTGCACAAGCATCCTGACACTGATCAGTGCCTTGCTTCAAACCCTGAAAAGCTGCTCTGCTATAGAGCAGTGCTGTATAAGCAGAAAAGATTGGCATATTACATGTTTTTGTTACTTATTTGAAATTGAGTCTTATTTATAGAATGTTTCTTCTGCTTATGAATAATGTATATCCTGTAGGATAGAATTTATACACTTTCTTTTAATATTATAAAAACATCAAAATTTACATTTCTCCAAACATAAATTTTATATCAAATATTTCACAGTAGGAGGAAAAATCTGCCAAGTAATAACTAGCAATAAAGATCAGCTTCCTAAAGTCAAATTCAAAATCAATAGCATTTTGTTATCCTACTACATTCAAAATGCAAATAATTTGTGCATGCAACAAGTCATAAATGACATATTACTCATTTTTTCCCCTGGGGATATCAGTCAGAGTTTATGATGCGTAAGAGAGAATAGAAAGATACTGTCTCATCTTGACAAATCTGATTAGTACCACAGCATATCTCCAAGGACATACTAATGACAGATATTTGCACAGTTATAATACAAGCAATTAAAACATTATGTGTGTATATAGATATAGACATACATATAATTACCATGCAAAGGATCATTCCTGTAGGTTTGTTGCTATGTGAAAATAGTTCCTTCCTACTTAGTATACCTAACTTTTCAAATTCAGGCTACTATGTGGCTCCTTTGGTGAAGAAAATAGTTTCCCACAATTTATCAACCTGAGCAATGCTGCAGAGACAAAGCTCAAATACGTTAGAAGGTTATCTATTGCGTGCTTTTGGCTGCTGATATAGCTGAGTCAGATTTCCCCTTAAAAACTCAGAATGTTACACAATAAAATCACCACTGTAACGTTCATTGAAGTGAGAGTGAACAGTTATTGACTCAAATTTGACTGGAAGTCAAGCTAAGAAAAATGCTGTTATACTGTTAGAAGTTTCCCATGCAGGTGCTTGCAGTATGATTCAGGTGCCATCTTATTATCTTCAACAGCTGTAGCCAGGTTGAGCCAAAGCACACCTAGAGCTCAACCTGGCTACAGCTGTTAAAGATAATAAAAAATGTTTCTATAAATTCATTAACAACAAAAGGAGAGATGCAGAGGTAAACATGGTAACTAAGGCTGAGGTGCTCAATGCTTATATTGTCTCAGTCTTTAGCATTGGAACTGGCTGTTCCCTGGACACCAGCCTCAGGAGATGGGACATGGGGAGGGGGAGCAGAATGAGGTCAGCACAGTTGAAGAGGAGGTGGTCAGAGACCTGCTGCACTGCTTGGATGCACACAAGTCTGTGGGACTGGATGGGTTACACCCAAGGGTGCTGAGGGAGTTGGCAGATGTGCTCGCCAAGCCGCTGAAGTCATGGCTAACTGGGGAGGTCCATTAGACTGGAGGGTGGCAGATGTGACATGCTAGAGAGGCAGAAAGGAGGATCCAGGAAACTATAGACCTGTCAGTCTGACCTCGGTGCCAGGGAAGGTGATGGAGCAGGTCATCTCAGGTGCCATTAAAAGTCATATAATGGACAACAAGGGGATCAGTCCCAGTCAGCACGGGTTTATGAAAGGCAGGTCCTGCCTGACAAACCTGATCTCCTTCTATGACAAGATGACCTGACTGTTGGACAAGGGAAAACCTGTGGATATTGTCTACCTGGATTTTTGAAAAGCATGTGACACAGTTCCCCATAGAATTCTCATAGAAAAACTAGCTGTCCGTGGCCTGGATCATGCACTGGCTGGATGGATGGTTCCAGAGACTGGTGGTCAGTGGCATTAAATCCAGCTGGTGGCCAGTCACAAGTGGTGTTCCTCAGGGCTTGGTGCTGGGACCATTTCTGTTTAACATCTTTATTGATGATCTTGATAAGGACATAGATGTATCATCAGTAAGTTCTCAGATGACACCAAGCTAAGCAGGAGTGTCTATCTGCATGAGGATGGGGAGGCTCTACAGAGAGACTTGGATAGATTGGATCGGTGGGCCAGCGTTAACAGGATGAGCTTCAACAAGGCAAGTGCCAGGTCCTGCACTTGGGCCACAACAACCATGGCTACAGGCTTGGGGAGCTGTGGCTGGAGAGCTGTCTGGAAGAGAAGGATCTGGGGGCTCTAACTGACAAGCAGCTGAACATGAGCCAGCAGTGTGCCGGGATGGCCAAGAAAGCCAATGGCATCCTGGCTTGTACTATTAGAAACAGTGTGACCTGCAGAAGTAGGGAGGTGATAGTCCCCCTGTACTCTGCACTGGTGAGGCCACACCTGGAGTGTTGTGTCCAGTTTGGGGCATTTCAGTATGAGAGATATCGAGGTGCTGGAGCAAGTGCAAGGAGGGCAACGAAGCTGGTGAAGGGCCTGGAGAACAAATCCTATGAAGATTGTGGTGGTTTAAGCCCTGCCAGGACTGGCAGTGGTCGGGCTGGCAGTGAGGCACAAACCCAGGTTAAAATAAGAAGAAATTTAATACAACAATGTGATAAAAATCTGAAGAACAACAGTGGCAACGATAACAACAATAAACAGCAATAACAGTGAACAAGACAAACGATATACAGAGAAATACCGCAAAGGGTCAGGGAACGAAACCGACGCATGGGTCCCGCCACCAAAAAGCCAAAGAGAAAGTAAAATCAAAGTTTCCCGCCCCTAGACCTGATGTCAGCATGGTATGAATAACCTGGCTGGAGATATCTTCCCCCTCTCTCTCTACTGGGGAAACCTAACCCTATCCTAGTTGAACCAGGACATAATCTATTGAAGGAGCTGGGACTGTTTAGTTTGAGGAGGAGAAGGCTAAGGGGAGATCTCATCATTCTACATCTACCTGAAAGGACATTGTTGGTCTCTTCTCACAGGTAGTTAGCAATAGAACAAGAGGGAATGGCTGTAAACTGCAACAGGGGAGGTTTAGACTGGACATTAGGAAAAAAATTTTCACAGACAGAGTGGTCAGACAGTGGAATAGGCTGCCCGGGGAGGTGGTGGAGTCACCATCCCTGGATGTGCTTAAGGGTCGTTTGGATGAGATGTTGGGGGATGTGGTGTAGGGGAGAACTTTGCAAAATAAGGCTGACGGTTGGACTCGATGATCCCAAGGGTCTTTTCCAACCTGAATGATTCTGTCACTCTGTAAAA